AAACACCCCACCAAAAACAAACAAGCAACTCCCCCCCCACCCTCCCTAAAAAACAACAACAATAAACCAACCCAAAGCAACATTCACATTGTCGGGCCGGTGTGTGTCTCTTTCACACAATCAAGCCGAAGTACACCAATATAATGACTTTTTGCTCTAACGACCATCGCGTTGAATAAAGAGAAGCAAACCAATATTACAATGGCTCTTTAGCGCAGGTGATTGCATGAAGGAGAGACACAAACCACGAAGGGAAAGAAAAGAAATACGACCTGTAGTGGTGCCCATCAACCGCCCATAACCAGCATTAACTCAACTAGTACGAGAAACGAAATCGCAAAGCCTGTCAAGGAGGCCTAGCTTTTTTTTTAATAGGTGTTTTTTTTACGCCCCCATCGACATAAGTTAGATAATTTAGGAGGCCGGCTTTCTCACTCTGCCTGTCAAGGCCGCCCAACCTAGACGGAGAGGCATACAATATCCCAGCAGAAAGACTGAGATTCTCGTTAAAATACCCCCCTCCAGAATTGGACTTGTGTCTCTTATGTGCAACATCTAAAGCGCTAAACTGCTACACCAAACATGCCCATCGAGAACTTGTGCAAGCTGCCGCGATATTGTAAAAGAATCTATTGTGTTCCTTTGATGCAGTAGAGGGTTTGGGTAGCGATACGTAGATACAATTACATAAATTAATCTATCCATTTATAATAGTTTTAAGGTATCCGTCTCTTTTCTCTCCCCCCCCACTCTCTCTCTTCTCTCTCTCTCTCTCTCTCTCTCTCTCTCTCTCTCTCCGCACAATCAAAGAAAGGACAGCATACGGTGACTCCCGAAGATTAGTATGACAAATCATAGACATTAACATACACGCGGGAAGCAATCCCAACTCCACGTTCAGGAATCTATGACCTTTTGCATCGTGACAGACGATCCTAAATCAGTATGCATTATACAGCTTTGCCTGGACGGTAGACATAGAGGATGTACATTGCCCAAGTACCCCCCCCCCCCGTTCCTCCTTTCAGATCTTGACTTCCTTGTTTAGCAGCAAAGTAGATAAATGGTCAGTACGTGTGGAACAACGAAGGTGTAATAGCGTTTAACTATTTTACAGGTGTGATGGGGATATGACATGTTTTATGGTAGGGGAATATAACATTAAATATTATATTATTTTGGTCTGGGTGGTAGCCAATCAGCTTTCTCTAAGCGCACCCAAGAAACCAAAAAAGAAAAACGTATTCCTAAGCCGTGCAAATGCTCAAAATGCATCTTATCTCAATACTGGTATTATTCCATATTCAGCTATGGCATATTCGTATTTAAAAAAAAAATCCAACTCCTTTAGTTTTTATTAAGAGTTTTACGGCGCTTGCAACATAATAAGGTTATATAATTGCCGAGGAATAGATGTGTTACAAGAGAGTAACATACACAAAAAGAAGGATAAATAAGAACGATACGATAGGAAGGAAGGAGCAGACCACACCAGAGCACCCGCCAACCACCCACTAAAATGGCAGAATATGGACCATTTACCAGATATTACACGTAATTCAGACTGTTAGGTGTTTTGGGGAAGGGGGGGGGGG